GAACTCAGTGAGATAAAATAGCTACAAAGTCAGTAAAAATCATTAGAGTATCTGGAATGCAGGAGAACGACATTGGACCAATATGATAATAGCCTAGGCTCAGTTCCCTCAGAACTTTCTGGCTTTAAGTTACAGGTTAAGTTCATGAATGACAGTTTGAAAGGAATTTAAGTTAGATAATTGCTGTAATTTACGTTTCCCCCAAGTCTCGAAGAACATATGGTACAACGTTGCTTGAGAGGTTGGACGCTCTGAGCAAAAACTTAAAATATTTCATGAAGCGAGTCGACAAATGAGAGACATGGGGAAAGTGTGTGAAAGCAGGGAGTGGAGCAGCGGAGAGGAGTACAGGAGGCATCTTCAGGGCTGTGAATAATTTAGGAGAGCGCTGGGGAGACGAGACAAAGATGAACACAAAACACTAGCAGCATTTGACCTCGAGCTGCCGCTACATCAGTGCTCTCATCACAGACAGCTTCGTGTTCTCTCTCTCCTCTCCTCCCTCCTCTGCTCTTCATCTGCCTCCCCCCTGTGTCAGCCCAGAAACAGCTGTACGCAAGGCTTGTTTCACCTCACTGTCTATGAAACTCAACAGAAAAGCTGACAACTGCGTTTGCCCGAGCCGGATCTGTGTCTTGCTCTCTACACGGGGCAAGATCAGAGCAGCCAGAAGAGCCTTGAACAAAATAGAGACAGGAAGTGAACTTGAACACAGTCCGCCGGCCCTGTCTGTCCATCACTATTTCAGGCGGCCGACCAATTAGCAAGTAAAGAAAATAGTGTGTCTACTGTAATGCTTGGCAAAGTTAGAAACCTTGCCTTTTTTCATTGTGATTGAAATAACTTTTTCAGTCATTGATTTTAATGCAACATACCTCTTAAAGCTGGCGTACCTTACTCTATTGTTTCAGAAATAAGCCATACTGTTTGTGAAAGTAATATCTTCAACCAAAATGATCAATTCTTCTTCTTCTATTGATAAATATGTTGTATTTTGATTCTTGCAACAACAAAAAAGCCCTCTCACATTTGACTTGTTGGGCGTCTTTTGAAAGTTACATATCCAAGTTTGGCATGTGATGCTGTGGTGTATAAGAATATATGCCCTCCATCCAAGTAAGTAAGTAAGTAAGCTTTATTTATATACCGCCTTTCACAGACCAGAGTCACAAAGCGGTTTACAATTGTTATTTTTTTGGGCACTTGTCTCTCACTCCACACAGAGATGGGAGCGGGGTCGCCGAACAGGAGGCGCACGCCAGACCTATTGTACATATTTTTAGTGGTAGTGGAAACCGGAGTACCCGGAGGAAACCTACGCAGACACAGGGAGAACATGCAAACTCCACTCAGAAAGGCCCTTGTCCGGCCGGGATTCGAACCCAGGACCTTCTTGCTGAGAGGCGAGAGTGCTATCCACTCAGCCACCGTGCCGCCCACAAAGTTATATAAAACTTTGAAAAGCCAAATGTATTGAATGCTCCTCCAATATTTGTTTCATTTCTCCATTAACACAGCTATTTGCAAAGTACCTTTCTCTTTTGAATATGAGTAAAAAAAAACAAAAACAAAAACAGAACGGGCCAAATCAAATTGCATCTTGTATAACAAACAGTCAAGTCTTATGATTAGGAAGAGAATTCACGATTCAAAGATTCAAAGAACTCATCCTTCAATGAACTGAAATATTGTTTCTCTCGTCCTTGATGAATATAATAGGATGTGCATTTTTCAAAACAGACTTATGGTAATGCGTAATGTGCCATGTAAGCACTGGCCCTGACACCCTTGGGTGCCCATGCAGAGGATACTGTGAACTACAGCAGTAAATAACAGGCGCACCATGATTGGGTGGACAAGAGGTTAAGCAGGCAGAGCATGAATCACCTCGCCTGCTCAACTGTCCGTGGTGAAGAGCAATGGGGGAAGACAAGAGGCCCCAAGTTCAACTCAGAAATAATAGATGGCATTCATTACTGCAATTAAGAAATCTTTGTCTTAAAATTAGGGGTCGATTTATTCAGGGCCGTTACGAAAACAAGTGGTCGAGGAAGACAATATCCCATATATAGAACCAATATTTATTGGTGTTAAAAATCTCCAACACGCCTGAAACATATGTACTGTATGTTTAACACAACTGATGGAGTGTCCTGATTTTTAGGTTCATTTTGACCTAAAACAAGCAAACTAAGCTAATCAGATGTGATTAGTTCAGGCACATGCAGTAAGTAGGTGTTGTGTAATACGTGTGTGTAGTTAGTTATAATGTTGAAAATAATGGCTCACACAAAATGATAACAAAGGTTTGACATTTGTCACTTTGTATGCAGTAAGACTTGATTATATTATAGCTTCACATTGTAAGTTGAATTACAATAATACATGAGTTTATGAACGATATTCGAATGTTTCAGCGTTGTCTATCCATTATGTTCATTGGGTTTGTGTTTTTACATGTTCTGAATTCACCCTGATTTATTGATATTGGTCGATGTGGGTGCCGGTAATTGGTCGATCCATTCTCAAAACATTCTAACAAGTCGACTTCTATTTCAGTTATCCCATTCCTCTCTTCTCTGCTCCTTCCACTCCCACTGTCTCTTACTCAGCCTCCATGGCGGATATTAATGGGACATCCCTTGTTTGTAAATGTGCCAAGTTGTGTGCACCACTGCGGGCTGTCTATTATAGCAAGCCTCTGGGGCAGCTTACCCATATGGCGCCGCATATGGCACTCAGCAGCATCAATTAATGTTGTTATAATACTGATTTTTATGAGCTAGGGTTTTCACTCCCCCCCCTGCTCCGAACGATGGTTGCCTACAGCACAGAGGAGCCTTTGAACTGTCAACAACAAACAACTAGCAAGCAGGAGCACTTGCAAAAAGTTTTTTGTTTTTTCCTATATTATTTTTCTTGAGATCTGGCTGCTCTGATATGACTAACAACCTCAACATGACTTTCTGCTATTTTCACAGGATTATTTCAAGGCAGTCTGCGGCAAACTGTGATTTAACATGAAAGAAATAAAGGTGAAAACTGGAATGACAAGGACAATTACTCTATAACGCATTACATATTCAAAGTTAAATGGAGCATGGAGACCACATCTTGTTGTTTTGGTCAGATTAAGCCAGCATCATTGCCCATTTAATGTGGCAAATTAGGTGTGTTTATGCGCAAAGTAATAGGCAGATGGAAGCGAGAAGTAGACTCAAGGATCTCTTTTGTGTCCTGGTATCTTTTGTGTGTGATCTGACGGGAAAAAAAGAACAAAGCGCAAAAAAATGAATTAAAAAATCACTTAAAAGTCACACCAGTCTTGTCACTAACGGTACAATTAGAGTCTAGATCATTCAAGCTTTTCGGTAGGGAACATCTTTTCCTTTCACCACTCTATGGAACTCGGTTTACGCTCAGAAGCATTGGTTTTAAAACGTTTCGGATGGCTAATCACTCTCAGGATGAAAGAGTCCCAGCATGTTCGTTTGTCTCCATGCGGGGAGCTTCCCTCGCCGTTACCCGCTCTCTGATTCCGATTGTTTTTGTTCCTTTCTCAAGCGGCAGGCGGGTGAGGCGAGGCGAGCTGGCAGGCAGGCACCAGCGTTTGAAGGTGCAGTCAGAACCGGAGTGCGGGCCTGATTCTTTGTAGTGATATTTCCAGCAGCACAATCTCATTACTTTTTGACGTGGGAGATGCGTGCAGAGGTGGATTGTCATTTCACGCTGTCGAAAGTTCTGTGAGGCAAAGAAGACGGGAATGGAACTTCAATGACCTGCGTGCCTCGGGCTCATCATGTCTGAATATATTAAACTTAGAGCATCCTTGGATATGCCTGTAAAGTTAACCTCCACACCTCAGGACGTTAAGAGGGTTTCTGTTTATCTGGAAATTATAATGATCTCGAAACTCAAGACGAGTTTATCTATTTGGATGGCTGCCTAAGTAAACAGATCCTTTGTGGCTGACGATAAAAGACATGCTCTCAAAGCTTCCTACAGCTCCTGAGCTCTGGACATTTTCACATGGGAGATCAGTAGCAGCTCCATCCAACAGAGAAAAAAAAAGGGTGTCCCCCGAAGTCAATTTCACACGGAGTTCTTTGAATGAAGAGAAAAGTTTTCGGCTGCCAGGAACCGATTGAAGCGCATGGTTACCAGGCAAACTCCAGCTTGTTGCTGTGGTGACTGTCCCAAAGTGCTTCCTGGGTAATTTTCGAGGTCACTGGTTTGTGCACGCCTATGTGGTGCAGATGGGCCCACCCTCATTCAGAGCCCAGCAGGAGTGCTTTCATTAGCTCCACTGAATGGCCGCATTCATCCCCTTCACCTCAATTGGTCATGCTGCGTCTCCACAGAGGGCCCAGGACAAACTTTTCTCTCTTTGCCCTCCGCGATCGGCCACGCACCACCCACCATCGTCATGCTTCGCTTTTGTTCTGGACCAGACTTAGGCCCCGGGATCATCGCTAAACCACCGTGGAGCCACAGATGGAATCTACTGACATAACTCTGTTTGTTTAGTGCCTCAAACTTAAAAGCCAGAGCATGACATATCCACACACAGTAATAATTGGAAAGTTACTGCAGAAAAATTGATTTCATGTCATGCTATTTTATGAGGTGTTCATAATTCTGATGGTTCGGTTTTATTTTAAGCTTAAAGGAATGCCTCCAGTGAAAGTTAAAGTTCAACCTCTGTGTACAAGGAGATATTTTTGCCATTGCAGTGCAAGTGTGTGTGTCTCCTGAAGTCCTGTGTCTGGTGTGGTGGGAAGTGACTAATTGTCTTAAGTAGTTAGTGTGCCTGGGCTGAGATACACTCCAGCTGATGACAGGGTGCACAATAATTCAGCTCTTATTTTCCTTCCCCCACTCTCTCTTTTTTACGTCTTTCAGCAGATTTAGCACCTCTGCTTCTCAAGCTACTGAGCTGTAAAATTGAGTGGACTGCAGACAGGATACAGAATGAGACCTGGCAATGTGGACGCACTAACCTTGAGGAGGGCCACTGCAGCTGGCTGCACCTAAAGAGATGGAGACACAACATCAGCCAAACTGAACTACAGGAAATCTAAATGAACAAGTTTACTGATCATATATGCATGCATTCAGAAATGACAGATGGTGTACATGCATCATATACAGTAAGGAGATGAATAAGTGTTGCGGTTTATAGGGGTACCAGCGTTAGTGGAATTAAATGGGTTGTATGTATGAAGAAAAAGTGATGCAAATAAAACGATTGCCAGAAAAGATAGATGTCTTTTAATAGAATATCACCTAATTCACCCCAGAGTGTGTTTTCAAGCAGTTACAGCAATTTAGATGAAATCAGATTGCATAGCTAACGTTAGAACAAGTGTGAGCCATCAGTTACTATCGCACATATGCGGCTGCTGATGTGAACAAATGGCGCCTCAGTCCCTTACACATGATATTAGTGCATGAGCTGCTCTCTCCACGAGAGATTAAGCAGGTTTGTACTCTCCCAGGCGGCCAGCTCCCCCCTCCAGGGTGCTGCACTATCATTTGTAGGAAAATTACTTCAGTAATGAAGAATCCAGGCCCATAAATCCTTGTGGCCTCACCTTGCTTTGCTGCCCAAGACTTGCTGAACAGCTAGTAAAAATTCCCTTTAAAAAATTCATAGTGCAATTTTGCTCAAAACCCTCCCAGCAAGCACAATTATGGAACTTTCATCTCAATTGATTTATGTCCTGGGCTAAAAGAAGGTTGGCTGTTGGGTGGGGGCTGTTAAATGGGAGGTAAAAACAAGTGGTAAATCATTGTTTTTAAACAGAAGGCAAGAGGGCTTTTGTCACTTTGACTGCTGGTGTGTTTCAGTGCAGTCGATGAAGCAGTGCTGACATAAAGGGAGGAGGAAGAGGAGTGTCTGAAGTGAACAGGCACATAGGAGGAGGAGACGCTGATGGAGGCGAAAGACGTTATTCCACTTGATTAATAACACTAATCAAATTATACAGTGTTCCACTGTGCCCTGAAATCTGGGGCCATAATGTCCTCTAATGGCGAGGTTCATGGAGCTAAACTTCAGAGGGAAAACACGCTGCTGACGGCTGCACGCCTTAATGAAGGCAGTAAAACATCCATTTCCACAAGCCATGAAATGAAAGGCAAGATTGTAGATTTGCACCCAGTGGCTCCCCCAGCTCACAAGAAAGAAAGGCTGTTAACACAAAAGACAGTGTGGGAGAGAGAGAGATACAAGAGAATCATGCAAGAGAAAAAATTTAAAGGGCAGGCACGCCAACAGCTACGGATATAAAAGAACAAGCATGATGAAGTGAGGACGCAGAGACAGATTGGAAGATTCTCCTTGTGCCTTTTTTCTCATCTGCAATAGACACAACCTATGTCCTCTGTTTATGGATGAGCCAAGCACTTTCACAATGTCTGTTCTACTCAGAGACACTGACAGCAGACACCATTCATCACCATTTAGTCGCTGATGCACCTAACCACAGCATCGGGCCCTCATCAATCTCCATATCTCCACATTACAGCGGTGCCTCCTTTCATATAACAATGCACTCGCTTGATGTGTCCATCCATCTCTCTATCCATAATGTAGGTAGGCAGCAAAGGTCAGTGAAGGTCATCTGACCAAATTTAAGACAACCTGTCATCTTAGTGCTACAGGTACGGTTACTACGCCTGACTCATGCACCACTCAACATTCCTGCATGTCATATATGAAGCAGAGAAAGTCAGAAAGATATACAGCGATAGCAAAGGCATAACAGTTTGCGTTTAGTTTTCCAAATGACGTATCCTTCAAACAATAAAACATCCGGTGCTACGACTAAAGCAACAGTTGTTTCACAATCCTTGGGGCACGTTTTCAACAGGAGAAAAAGGAGAAAAACAACAAAGCTGAGAAAACACAGATTGCTATTGTTATTATTATCATAATTACAGTTGTGCTTATCATGCAAGCCGCCTCAATCAGGATGAAAAACAGTTTCATTTGATGGAGCTTCCTGTTTTGACTGGCTCGACTTTGGGAACTGAACACTTGGCTGTCGTTCCAAAAACCCAATCAGGCGCAATTACATCGGCATCAGATAGAAATGTAATTGATTTGAAAGCTGACATGAGATATAACTACATTACAGTGGGGGCGCAGTGGGGAGGGTCCTTCGGGACAGGCCCTGCAGGGAGCTCATTACCGCCAAGCTTTGAATTATTGAGTGACTGAAGCAGTGACATTGAGCGATGGAGGCAGGCCATTGGCTGTAACAACTCTGCAAGTGTTTATCTCAACTTACAGCAACCTAAGACATGTGAAGATGTGATCCAGCCTCTCATTAATATTAGAAGAGAAGAAGTTGTAATGCTTCATAATTGATCGGGTTCAAGACCAGGTGGAGTTCACGGGTGCATATCAGGTCTGTGTGTTCTGCAACTGGTATTTACAATTGTGTTTTATTTATTGATTTTCAAATTCATAATACATAAAAAATATACCCCTCTTCAAATGGATAACTCCCTTTAAGAGAATATGCAATGTGACCAGCTACTAAACATGCAGAGACTGCATTTAAGATTCACGCAGCTAACATCTGGAACAGTCTTCCTGAAAATGTGAGACAGGCTTCTTCTCTGACAGTGTTCAAATCCAGGTTACAAACAGTTCTGTTTAGCTGTGCATACAGCTGAGGAATTTTATATTCACTCTTTTTGTTGTACTGTGATTATTTATGATTTGAATGCATTGTGTGATTGTTTCTATCTTGTTTTGTTCAGAACTTTTGAGTTGCCTTGTGTATTCATTGTGCTATACAAATAAACTTGCCTTGCCTTCTTTCAAAGGCACATGTCCAATCTAATGTATTAGAGATACATATATATATATATATATATATATATATATATATATATATATATATATATATATATATATATATATATATATATATATGTATATACATTGTTGAAATCCAAATATATATATTTAGATTTCAACAGTTAGTAATGTGATGGGAGACCTCTGGAAACACTGGGTGCTACAGTGGGCCGGCTGTAAAATGTGAAACAATTGTTGTGTTGTTAGGCAAGACACCTCACTCACAGAGTAAACCTGGTGTATACATAAAAGACTGGTCGTGATCAGAGGGGCCGATGCCTTGCTTCTGTCAGTATTCCCCAAGGCAGCTGTGGCTACAGTAGCCGTAGCATGTATGGAGTGCATGAATAATGTCATAAAGCACTATATTTATACAATTTTCCATTATTATTATTTTCCATAGTAACAACTTAAATAAAAAAATCGTGGTCACTCTCCTGGGCACATACTTTAAATGCTGTCGTCACACTTAAAGCCGGCACACATCGACAGTTAATGAATTGAGTTGAATTCAAATGGGACGTTTTGGCCATAAGCGGTATTAACATTAAGTGTCTAGATTAGGCAGGAGTCTCTTGAGTTGAGAGATACGGAGCCTGACCCTGACCACCAGCCTTCAGGTTTCCCTACAGGGCGAATGTTGAGACGATAAAGATATAAGCGCAGGGGCGGCTTAGTACCCTTCAAGAAGATGGTAACGGCATACCAGGGAGACATCTTTTCCCCTACGGCTACTCCAAGTCACCTCCTCTGTCTTTTTCATTTGCCGATCTTCTCTTCATTCACACAAGCCTCCAGTGAGCTTTCGTGGAAAAATGAGAACTCAATTAATTCAGGCAAAATGAGGACAAGTGAGAAGGAGGCGTTGAAATGGCCCTAGGAGTGCAGCGAGACACCAGGGAACTGGTAATGCGCAGGTCTGGAAGCAGCAAACAGTGCATGGGTGGACTGTGGATGTGCTCTAAGCCTTCAGCCGACTTAATCCTGTCGGCAGTTTAAACATGGCGGATGCATGGGGCTACGCAGGGGGATTCTGGGTAAACAGATTGACTATTTCTCAGCAGGGGTTGACCATAACATGATTAAAACATGCTGTTGAAAATTCACCAGGTATTCATGGAGTGGACTGCAATTTACAGTATATGTATGTGTTTTATCTAAAAGAAAGCATGCAATAACCTAATGCTTTGGGATAATGTAGAAAGTGTAGGTATGAGGTTGAAACAAAAACCCAACCACCAAACCTTTATCTTGACCTTTACAAGTCAAATTGTATATTCATAGTGGATTCTAACCATAGAATAGACAATATGTATATCAGCACATTTTACAATGCCTCAGGTGCTGTTGAACTCCACACTGAGGTTTCATGACTTCAACCTCTGCCCTTTGCTCTTGACACTGACACTGGAGTCAGACAGAGGCTGCAGTTAAAAATGCAAAGTATATTTAAAGAGACAACAGCCGTCCATCATCGCTCAGGCATGTCACAATAAGCCACGCTAATAATCAGAACACCGTTAGGCCCGGTTTCCACTCAATAAAGTAATTTAATGCACATCCTATACAGAAATTCAAGATGTTTTCTCAGCATATCTATTGCTCCCAACAGCATTTTATGATTCAGTGCAAGAAACTAAAACAAAACACTCAAAAATACAGTAAATCGAAACAAATGACCTGTATTTACTGGTAGACTACTTGTAAGGCAGTGATGCTAAAGCCAGATCCACAGTGCCATAAAAACAACCACTTCGCTTTGACAAGAGTGTAAATCTCAAGGCATTCTGGGATATTTTTATGCTCATTTGAGACTGCCGTGCATATATTTCAATGTTTTACCATCCCCCGAACGAGCAAAGGGCTAGTAAAGTAAGCGACTCAGGCAGTTCTAAAATTTTCATTTGATAAATACCTCGCATATGAGGAGCCAAGGGGGATCGTGGCAAATGTGCTTCCAAGAAAATCAGTCTGCCACTAGTACTTATAGTGATGGAGTAGGCTGTAAACATGAGCAGCAGACTTCTCCTTGTAGACACTAATATAGTTGTTCTTCCAAAAGCTCAAAGAAAGAAAGAGGTGGAGCATGGATTATAGTTCATGAACTCAGCAGCGAGGGCACGCAGCATTAAACCGCTCCAGTTTCAGCACTCAGGCTCTGCACCCAAGCAGCAGAGTAAAAGCACAAGACTGTTCAGCGCAGAACGTCGAGTTGGTCATAAGACACCCTCGGTCAATGGGGGATAGTGTTCTCCACATTAGGCCAAATTAAAATTAGATCTATCTTTAACAATCTAATAAAAAAGCCATATGATGACACTTTGCCTACTGTGTGTTTACCATCTTCCTCAGTACAACCCCTGGGGAACAGACATTCTTTCATTTGGTTCTTGTGAAAGGACTTTTGAACAACAAGCTTTCTAATCTCTAATCATTTTACAGTCGTCTAATGCATGACCAATGGGTGAGTGTGGTCCCAAGTTGGATTAGGCATTAAATCCATTATGTCTGCATTTGCCAATTTCCAAAATCCTGGTCTTTTCCAATAAAGCATCAGATGACTACTTTTAATCTGTTATTCATGACTTTTAAGAAGAAACATGAACTAGCCTCGACATTGATTGCGTACCTTGATATCTATTTTTTACTTTTTTAACTAGTTTGCACCAAGTTATAAAACTCTAACCCTGATTATTCAATGTTGTGAAAAGGTAGTATGTAAAAATTTAAAGTACTTTGTCGACCAAAAAAAAACCTAATCGACTAAAGACATTAGCGGCAATTAGTTTGAGAGCTATATCAGTTATATCAGACTCACTTGCTATATTTCAGCTTCATCCCAAACAACTACTGTACAGCATGAGAAATGCCATATAAGATAAGATAACACACACTTTATTGTCCCAAGGGAAATTGTAATTCTGTAAATATACTTATGTTTTAAATAAATAAATATGCTTATGTTTTCCCATATAAATCCTCACGATTCCAATAAGAAATTGGTAGAATCTATCATGGCCAACTAGGATGCTATCGGTTGCAAAATAATTTATTAAATGACCAAAGAAGATCAGCCCTATACCAGTGCCAGGGTGACATGTCATTCTTTCAATACAACTGTAGAGCTGTCTGTTAGGTCTCTGCCAACCATAATCTGTTTGCAAGACATGTCTCTACAGCTCACAGAAAATATAAATAAAACACCACTTTTTCACTTTTGAATGTCAGCCGAGTGGTGAATAATTGATCTTTTGAGAGACAGAAACAACTCCAGCAGGAAGTGGGGATAGTCGAGAGGCTTTCGAAGTCTGCAGCTATACAGCAGTATCGTTGGTGGTGAGCCGTTGTGACAGTATGAGAGAAACCGCAGCCTATGTGCCTATTGTGCAAACACAAAAAACCACAGAGAACTCTAAAAGAAAAGGTTATCTTTGTACTAAGTGAAGCCACAGCTTAAAACAACTGAAGCAAAGTCTTGTGAAACACTGACAAATTGTTCCACGTTCAACTTGAAAAAAAAAAAAAAGTCTAAGTGTTTTACATACAGTCCAAGTTACAGTTAAATTAAACACGGACTTTGTAAAGTTTTCTCTGTGTTGCATTGTCTTAATTATGTTACAGGAATACAGATCATAAACGCCAAAAAAACAGATTTCTCGACTCTTGGCCTTTTGGTGTCACCTGCTTGTTTCCGTGGTGATTTCAATGGTTAGTACAAATTCCAATCTGTTGGACATTTGTGCAAACTATCTGTCAGTTATCATGTACCAAATAAACACCTATGAAAACATTACTTTACCAATTAAAATGTTGTTTATTTGCCATTTTAACCACACTGGAAAACTACAGAGAAGCCCAGTGTGCACCAGAGACAACAGTAGCAAAACAATGAAAGACAATATGTTTCACAAGTCTGCTTATTTCACAGCAAACCCAAAATATATCTAGAATAATGCATGAAATTAAAGCTGGAGTACCGAGCTTTTGTTTTGTTACATGAATACATTTTGTTTGTTGCAAGTAACATTTTGTAACCAAAACAGACCACAATGTGCGAGCTTAAGCTGATTGGAAAACAACTTTTACATACTGGGAGCTGATAGGCTCTCTTGTTAACTGAAAAAACCTGATTTAAAAGATGTGGCACTTGAAAAAAAAACTGTTTTGAGAGCTAGGAATTATATACATGGATTTTATTATATAGTTAAAGGTGTATTACCCAAGATAGTCGGGAGTGTACCTTGGGTAAACCAAAAAACTCTTTACCAAACTCATGCTTGAAGTTGCCAAAAGCCCCAGACACAGCCAAGACTGAAGTTCTACAAATCTGCCACTAAAACCTGCACTGGGAGAGAAAACCCCCCTCAAAGTCATGAAGGGGATGTGAACTGTGTTGTTGGTGACATGTCGTTATGGAAATCTGAAATCCTACATAAAACTCCTCATTTTTTGGAGTTTCAAAGTCAGGTACTCCAGCTTTAATCCGTCTCTTGAACAACTAAAAAGAGAGGGTATAATAGCTGGTGACGAGGGCATACTTCACTCGGCCAATCATCCAGCACTCTAGGTTGGGCCCAGACTGAATTCCCAGACATTTGCATGATCCGTCCTGTGACCGCAACATGAAACTAGCCAAGAAACACAATGCAGCCTTTTCGTTTTGTTTGTCCTGCTGCTGGTGTCTTGGCACACTGTAACTGAACCCTGGCATTCAGCGTAATCCCTGGGGAACGAGCCCGAGAGCGAACACACGGATTAAGAACAGGTGAGTGTGTATCTGTGACGGACCACCACAGCAGCCCGCTAATGCAACGGCTTCTACTGTTTCACACTTGGCCCCTGGGATGGCTCCTGTATTAACTTACATCAAGTCGGTTACTTTGGTATAACAAGAGCCGCGCCAATTGATTCAGTTGAGCAGAATCGTACACAGTTCATTGGCTTTTGGCAACGCAGACGACAGCGGTCAGAGGAGCACTGGAGTATCAGTTGACCCAGACTAATTATTCATAAGGTCTTGTTGTGATGGCTGCTGCTCTGGTAAGGTCAGGCTGAAGCAGCTCAAGGGAAACAAAAACATTTCCTCCCAAAATGAAGTTGACACCGTGGCCGCTACCTCACTGATCCAAAATAGCTGTCAACAAGCGGATACTATTACAAGCAGAAATGTATACATTCGCAGTGGATTTTCATTGATGAATATCATTTCAAGAAGACCTATTAGGAAAGTTGTTGCATAGAAATGTCAACCCAAACTTGTAAATTGATAGTGGGTAAATATTCAGCCATTATATAGTCAGGCAGAAACACTTCCAGAAAATGTCTTGGAAGACTCCACTAGAGTCCTGGAAGGGCTGGAACGTTATTTCTCTCTGCAGCTACTACCAGCTGAGGCTGAACTGCTGCTGAGCCTCTTTCAGCTCGGGCTCTTTCTCACTGATGTGTCTGCTGAACAGCATCTCCAGCTCCACACAGCTGTCCTCTGCTTTAACGTCAGAGTCTTTGATCAGCTCTCGCCTCACTTCTGGCACATTTAACTCCACCCCTTCTGTCCAAAAGCTCCTGCCTCATTCCTGTAAGGCAATATATTGGTACTCTATAACACAGCATTCAGAGCAGTTTTCAACCTTTTAAAACAGAAGTGTTTAAGTGAAAGAACAATCTCTACAATCATCTTTTTGGATTCCTTTTGTGGTAGCATAGGGAGTTATAGGCCACTCGTACGTGTTTCCCCATATACATGTATTCTCTACCATATTATAAAAAAATCATATTATCATTTTGTCCAAAAATTATGCTACATTTCTTTTTGGGTGCTCAGGCGTGCCAGGAAAAAGGCTGCAAGGCTTAATAACACAACACTGTATGTCCTTACAACTACAGACAGGTACTGCCTTGAAATTTTTAATTACAGTAATTGTGCTTTCAACAAATGGGCCTCTGAAGCGCCCTTCAACGATAAAACACAGGTTGTTTTACCAGCCAGTATTCTGCTAAAAGCATCAATTGAAAAAGGCATAATTTTAAATCCCATCTAAATGTCTGTTAGCAAAGGGAAAAAAAAATCAATTCGTTCAATCGTTGTCCAAGCCCTGACTCTCTCCAAGGAGCGAACAATTGTCACCTTTAAGCTGTGGTAAACATCACGTCTCACAACAATCGACATGAACAGTGGAAATGTATACCCACAAGTGGAAACACACAAGGCCCACTTATGAGCAAGCACAATGGCAGTGCAATTAGAGGCTAGAGAGCAGGAATGCTGGATCAGTTACAGTTGTTGAATGTTAATTACAGCGTTTTACTGCGTCGAGGAGATAACGAGTTAGCGCCCGGTGACAGCAGCCGAGACACGTCCCTTTAACGAGAGCCGTGGAAATTTATGAAACTGGAGATCAGGGACAATGAGGCGTTACGGGCTTGTCAGACGCACTCCTGATCAACCTCTCTTTGTCCTAATGAAGGAAGGCACTTGTTTCTTCTGTGTTCATCCAACTGCCATGACAAAGAAATCATTACACCTCATCTTGGGCAAGTTAAAAAGTCAGCTGGGATGTTGGTCTTGTCTAATCTAATGGTCTGTTATGGGAGAATTATTGATTACATTTGACTGCTACACCTTTTCTTCCCGTAGGTGTTCAACTGAGCTGTATTTCAATATATACGAGATACATACTACAAACCATCCCTCGACCTTAACCGTTCAGGTGTGACTTTTTAACATACATAGATATCATTAAGAATACACGTCTTTTGCACAGTGTAAAAAATATATTGTATATGTGATCAATCATTCCATGTTCATGAGTATAATGGAAACAAAATTTGCAAATTCTTGAATTGTATGGTGTGGTTATGTTGGTGTGAAATGTAGGTCAGTGGAATCAAAACTAGTTTTTGGTTCTCATGACACCAATGTTTCAGAAACGTAGTAAACCAGGGACACATAAAAAGGCTAGAAATGAAATGCTAAAGACAATCCTTAAGATTGTATAGTAAAGTGTGTGTTTGTTTGTGCGCTAGGGCTGGATATCTTTCAGCGCCTTGATATGCATGAAACAATTTGAGAAATATCTTCATATACAGGCTTTCAATTCAGTACACTTAGTCACTAATGACCTGAAAAACCAGCACTGCTATAGCCACTTTTTACTGTACATAATATATCCTGCACAGACTATATTTTGAACCTTTAACATGTTTGCACACTTCATGTCTTTTTGCACAATCTGAGTGATACTATCTATGTCAAATTAAGTATCTTAACTTAAACATTTTATAAACAATTTGATACAGTTCAGTACAAATGATGTCTTAAGGTCACTTGTCTGACACTCCACCTTGTGGTTAGTGTTTTAGCTTCACAGCAAGAAGATCTCGGGTTCAATTCCACCTCCCAGCCCTCCGGTTTTCTCTACCACTAAATACAGGTAGTATATGGGTATGAATGGTGTTGGTCAGAGGCTATGATGCACCAGTGTGTTCGAGGTTTCTCTTCTGTCATCACTGTATGTGGAGAGAATGGACAAATATCTAAATATCTATAATCCAAACACACTAAAGCGCTTTGTGTGACCTTGGTCACACAAAGCGCTTGAAATACGCTATATAAATTAAGATTACTTACTTGCCTACGCAATTTGACCATACAACACTATTGATGCATCCATCCATCCATTTTCTTCCCCTTAATCCATTTCTGGGTCGGGGGGGGGGTGGCAGTCAGAGCTGCACCCAGTCCACAGAGCACCAGCCCCTCACTGAACCCACTTCAGGCAAAGTGGGTTTAAGTGTCTTGCCCAAGGACACAACCACATCAGACATCAGTGGGAGTTGTGAAGCAGGTCTCATGGTGGGCTCGAACCCACAACCTTCAGGCTCAAAGGCCAATGCTCTACCAACTGAGCTACTGTCGCCCACTACTATTCACTATTGATGCATTTTTATTTAATTTTAGAGGATTATTTGTCATTATAGCACATCTCTAATGTGGGTGCTTTCGATCGTTACGGTACATACATTGCAAAGTCCAAAACAGAGTATGGCTTGGACTGCAGTGAGCCGCAGACAACATGAAACTAACAAAAAGAGCAAGAGACAATCCCATAAACCCTCCGAAAACAAACTGGGCGAGGATGGTTCTCAGAAGTCAATAAAAACAGGTGTTAACCAGCTTGGCTAAGATGTTAGAGCTGGGATAATCTTCGTCAGGATCCTGGAGAGATCGGTGTTGGAATACTGATGCACTGATGGTTTTAATGTGGATTTGAAGCTAGAGACCTTTGAGTGGATTGCGGATGCGATTGTGTTAATCCAGGAAAAAGATCCACCATCTAAATCAGTGCATTTAAATTCTGGCCTTTAGTTGAAGATAATCCAAAGCAGTGTAGCAGTAAATGTAGTAAATGTATAATTTACTTTGTTTTTAATTCACTAGCCGTCCAATAGTACTCAATCCTACAGTCTGTGTGATACTTGCCACAATAGCAAGAGAAGCAGTACACTGGCAAGTTACATATACAGTGGACACCAGAAATGTACAACGTGAAAAAACATGACGGTTTTAGTTCACATCTTATTTTAACTACAATTATTTGCATTTGTTTATTGATTTCTTCAATGATTAGTCCACATATCCCTTTTCAGACACCCAGCGTCACGGGGTGGGGTGAGTGAGGACTCAAACGCCGGAATACCAAAATAAAGACTTTATCTGAAAACTTTATCTGTTTAGCATTTTTAGGATTCTGACTGTAGTTTGTTCATTGCCATTCACCCGTTGTCCCATTGTCTGTTTCATGGTACGATGACGGGATCTCTGAGCCTGGCCTCTTCCATCTACACCTGCGGACTGCCCCGCCCGACCCGCCTGGGAGTGCTTCGGTCCTGCACCGGACCTGTCCACGTTCAGCGGCCACTGGTCCACGTTCTGTAGCTAGCTTAGGTCCTAGATCATTAGCCTGTCCGTCCGGAGGAGCGGATCCCTTTCTCATATGGGTCTCCCTCCCTGTGGGTTTCCCTAGTGCTCCTCCAAGGTTTCTCACTTTTTCCCACTGGGTTTTTTAAGAGTTTTTCCTTGTCGATGCAGGAGGGTCTTGTTGGACAGTTAGTGTCCAACAGAAAGGATTGGTGATGATCAGGACACTTTAGCATTCTACAACATGTATGGACATTTTCTTCTGTGTGTGCTTTATATTCTTCATGTGTTTTGGCTGTTGATTCTCTGACCTGTGTTGGTGATTTCAATGGTTTTGTTAAGTCCTCTGAGATGACTTCTGTTGTGACCTAGGGCTATACAAGAATAAATTGTATTGTAATTGTATTGTAAAGACTTAATAAATAAAGTCCAAGGTAAAAAACAAAACAACAAAGCAACCAGGTACACAGGAACAGGACAGAACAGACCTTGACAAGACAATGAACCAGCAACAAGGGAAGAGAAGCACATGGTACATATACACACAGACACAGGTGAATCACATCAGGGCGGGCAGAACAATCAACAGGGGAACAGGACATGAAGCAAAACTGAAATGAAACCAGAGAACTAATATCAAAATAAAACCAAATACAAAAATAAAAATCCACACCATGACAACCCAGGAACAATTTCCAATCCGAAATGTGACTATTATATAGACAAAAAGGCTGAAATTAGTCTGAAAATAGTTTAATCTTTGTCTTTTTCATTCATCTGTTTTGTTATTCTGTAAAGTTTTGAAGTAAATATCTTGATTGACAATAACCGTTACTATAAAAGAAGAGAACATTTTGGATCACCGCCAAACCATGGAGTACTTCTGTTTTCCACTTCATGTTTAGTATTGCGTGTGCCACATCACATTGAACAAAAAACTAAAGAGTCAATGTGACACATGTGGAAGTGACATAATTGACTTGGATTGGCGTTTCCTCCGGCTCCATACATTAATATACTGTCTTACACGCCGCCCTATGATCAAATCAGCATCTGGCAAAAGGGTGGCTTGTGGTTTGGGCTGTTCTCATTTGTAAACACCACCTGCCGGCTCTCTCTGCTCCTCACTCTCTCCATGACATTAGTGCGAGCGTGAAATGTGATTTTGCATAGAGTAAACCTCTGCTACAGGAACACACTGCCCACCTGGAAAGCCGGCATGAATAATCCAGGGCCAGAAAGTCGAGAGAGGAGTTGTCAGCCGTAAGACACAAGGCAGAAGCGGAAAATCAACTCAGTCTCCTGCTTTCACATACAGCATGAGGACTTTTCAACAGGAGATTTTATGATCTTGATATGTTGCAAATGTTTCCCATGATTCTTCACACTATTGCCGTGTTTACATATGTTACTGACTAAGGGCGCTCAAGATAAACTTTAGTTTGTTTTTGCCACATTCTCACCACGCTTGGCCCACACCAGACTTTCAGCCACAACCTCATTCAGTTCCTCTCATATGATTTCCCAGAATCTGACTGCCGT